AAGAGAGGCAGAAAAAGGCAAGGAGTGAAAATTTGGTGTTTTGAAAAGGAGCTTGCACAAATTGTCAGGCTCTCTGTGAATACTGGTGGGTGTGTTGAGTGGCTGATTTCTTTGGGTGTCTTTTTTTCCTTGACACTTGATATTTTGTAGCGGTAACCCAGGGGAAGATGCAAAGTGTAGACTGATACAGCCTTTGTTCTAACAGCTTTGAGGATGTGCCAGGTACCATGCAGGTGATGCCTGAAAGCAGTTTGATCATTTAGTTTGTGGCACTCTTCCTTCTGAGCTAACACAGAGCTGATGGCCTTGCATCATCTAGGGGTGTACTGCATTTTTTAGAGGTTTCTGTGGTCGTTAAATTTGCACTAACTTCTCTCACTGCCAAATTCTTGCCTCAGCAGTCACTGTTTCACTGTTGGGATTTCCTTTCCATAATTTCCTGGACTTGTATTGAAATTTTGTTACTTGGTGTCCCTCCAGTGCTTTTGAAAGTGTCAGAAACTAAGTTTCCAACTCTTCTGAATGTTTTTTCCTTTAGTTACCAATTTGGCAAAGCCTGGTACCTTTGCTGGCAACGATGCTATTGTGGCCTTTGCAAGGAACCATCAGGTGAACGTGGTTATTCATCAGCTTAATGCTCCTCTGTGGCAGGGGAGAAACAAAACTTCTGTATTTTGGCTTCATTTTTAGATGTTGAATACAAATAGTTTTGAAACTTCCTAATCTATTAACAGAGAGCAGTCAGTAGTTAGCTGGGTGTAGTGTGGAGCTGTGCTTGCTTTTTCAGCCTTGAGGGAAAACACTCCAGATTTCAGCTTGGAGGAGAGGGAATGGAAGAATGGATGAAAAATGAGTACGTGGAGACAGAGCAGCATGTTTGAATTTGCTTTTAAGCTACCAGATTCGTTGGAGTTCTGGAGCCCCCATCACAAGAGAGACCTGGTGCAGCTAGAAGAAGTCCAGAGGAGGCCACCAGGATGATCCTGTGAGGACAGGCTGAGAGAGTTGGGGCTGTTCAGCCTGGAGAAGAGAAGGCTCAGAGGAGATCTTAGAGCAGCCTCCCAGTACCTGAAGGGGCTACAAGAAAGCTGGGGAAGGACTTTTCATAAGGGCAGTTAATGACAGAACAAGGGGAAATGGGTTTAAGCTGAAAGAGGGGAGGTTTAGATTAGACATTAGGAAGTTCTTCACTGGTGGTCAGACACTGGAACAGGTTGCCCAGA